TAAAAGAAAATTAAAAAACAATAAACCTAGATAGATTGGTAGAGAGTGGTTTGGTTAATTATCTTTCATACTGGTCCTGTCACTTTTTGTCCGAGTGCATGTTCTCAGGTTCTAATCCTCAAGACCTAACAACCCAAGAGAACGCCGTGACCGAGACTGCGTAAGTCCGTAAACAAGTATGGTTGAGATAATGAGACATGAGCTTGCAAGCATGAAAAGCAGGTTGCGAGACGACTTGTCTTAACAACTCAGTCTAGGGTCATTAACGTTTAACCCCCAAGGGGGTACCAGTTTGAGATCATTCTATTTCATGTCGAGTTTCTACCGTGTTTTGGCCACTTCTGACCGTTGAACCCAGCTTCCTTTACATTCATTTTTGAGTTTCCCCAATCTCTGTCAAATAATTAGTCATGTCTCACCAACATAACATCGACCACATGAGCAAACAATCTTGTAGCAGCCGGATCTCGATAATGGGTTATATTTCTCTCTAAAAGATGGCATAATAGAAGAAAGTGTGAGGGTTTCTTTAAGTACTGTTTTTATGCGTCCCACCAACATAACATCGACCACATGAGCAAACAATTTTGTAGCAGCCGGATCTCGATAAGGGGTCATATTTCTTCTAAAAGATGGCATAACAGAAGAAAGTGTGACGATTTCTTTGAACACTGTTTTTATCCCTCACTTTCTAAGAAAGTTTGAGGGTTTCTTTGAACACTATTGTTATGCCCCACTTCTTGATTAATTCGCCTATCTTTTTTAAGAAGAAGCATGACGGGAAAATAAGGACATTGGATAAAGTCTCAGTCTGTCTATCTTTGACTAAATGGTCTTCGTCTTAAAATGTAATCCTCGGTTAAGAGATATTATTCTCAATAAGGCCCAAGCGATACTTATTTTGCAGGAATATATTTGCCATTGACTTCAAAATTCCAACCTTAGTCTTGTAACTATGGTTGCAAAGAAAATAAAGCATAAAAAGAAAATTAAGCAGTTGGCTTCCTATAAACATCTCTTTCTAACATCCAGAAAAGTCAAGGACTTATTCTCTTCTATTTCCGTTGTGAACCTAATATTCCATTCACGATGGTTGAGTGAAAGTAGGAAACTATCAAAACTTTGCTTACCATGAGGCCAGATGACAAAATAGTCATCCATGTATCTAACCAACAATTTGAGGGTTAGTATTGTCTTTTGCAGGAATTGTTCCTCCAATCTTGCCATATAATCGTTCGATATTTATTAATAAATAATATTCATAAATAGTACTATTTTAAATTAGCTGTATCAGCACAAATGTATATTTTATTTTTACTCGTTTATCTATTTAGTATTTATACTTATTAATTAAACATTGTTGCTATTATTATAAAGTGATAGGAATAAAGGTAGATAGATAGATTCAACCCAAAGCCGGACATTCTCGTCGTCTCATGTGCAATTCCAAATCCAAGCTGGTAGCCATGGGCTATTAATAAAGCGGAACATGTTGCTAACTATCCAGATTATTTGCAGTGATTTTATTTATATACACGTCTATCTACACATTTATAAAATTTATTTATAAATACTTCTATTTAAGCTTATCTAATATTTTACTTTTAGCTATCGAGTTAGTATGTTTACATGTTTATTCCTAATTATTGTATTGTTCCTATTTATATTTGCCGACCTTAACGAAAGGCATATAATTGGATAAATAGATGCAACCACAGACTAAAATTCTTTATCGCTTCAGGCGCGGGGCTCATCAAAGCGGAGGAGAGAGTGTTCAGTAGAATTGTGCATGGACAAAACAAAATAGGGGAAGTGGGGAAGATGTCTACGAAAGATGAGCAGATATCATCATCATCTCTTACTTTGATTGTCGACATGAGTGCAGGTTTGTCAAAATGTGCATGTGTTTGTGTTAATGTCGGCCTGCCGGCGTGGTGAGGGCCAGTGTGGTAAGAAGGTGAAGAAAATGGATAGATCCTGCTCCGTCAGGAAAGGAGAGACAAGCAAAACGTCAAGCGAAACCTGACATCAAAAGCGTAAAATGTGTTGTCGGAAACTGAGCCGATTGGGCTGATGCTCACATCAGCCAACCGGAGCTGACCGTGAAAAAAGCCAACAATCTTGTTTAGGTTGACAAAACACCCTCATGAACGCGGGCAGATGGCTCAGTCGCCAAGCGCTCTGTAAACAAGTGACTGCCACGCCTTGGCTTCACCTCCTCGTGACCAGATCTCGCAATGAACATCCCGTCGCTTTCGTCTCCGCCTGCGAAACCAGTTTCACGCTTCATGTCCACCTCGACATGTCATTTGGCCACGCCTGCACCCGTCGCTATGCGTTGAGTGTGGCCGGGAAAAACCTTGGTTACGCATTTTATGGCTAACATTCGCCCAAGACACCAATCACTCTCCCACTGCTGCATTATTTAGTTAAAGTGAATTTAGGGTCGCACCTGCGGCAAGAACTAAACACACTCTTCTCCCACAGAACAATTCAATTCACCCTATTTCGTTTTAGGTGATGAAGGAGGGGCAGTTGATTTTTCCCACTGATGATGTATTCCAGTGAATTTCACATATCCTCGTTTTCACAAAAAGGTGTTCTCACCCAAGGTAGGCTGCAATTTCAATCTAGTCTTATCAACACCCACATCGGGACTCGAACCATGACATTGCGGAGTATAATCTCGACGCGATAACCATTACGCCACATTGCCACGAGTGCGCTTAGGCCACGAGGCAGATGTTAGTTTCAAGGAATGTCGGCCATTTCCCACATCAAATATCGATGACATTACTTTTTTCGTGAATGAGTAGGCTTTCGAGACCACCAGTAAATCAGGTACAACTCGAGCTGCTTTCACTTCGTTGCTTCAGGCTTTTTTTCCTTAAACAAATTAGGCTGAACACAACCCACATATCTTATTTACTGCCAGTACCTTCAAAACACAACTCTTCTTCATACTTTCAAGTGTCTTCTTCTCCAGACCATAACAATAACCGGTTTCACAAATCCCACAAATGGATCTTTCTTTCTAAAAATTTTCATAATTGTGCACCTCCTTTGTCTGGTCAACTCGAATGACATGTCTTTTCAACACCCCTCTTGTCTCCTCAGAATTGCCACCTGTGGTGACCAATCTGCAAATGCTCGAGGAAAAGTCTCCTCGTGCCTTTACGTTGTCATGGGGAGCCGCTGCCCTCCCGGAGAACAACTTCTCTGAACCAGTTGTCTACGTTCTTCAGGCGAGGACCTACTTCGGACCTGAGTTCGAGACCCGACTGGCCAGCGAATGGAAGACAGTGGTGATGGTGAGTAGCCCTCTGATGCTTAATCACCTCCCTTCTTTGACAATTCGCCCAGGCCTCCTGGTTACAGGCAAACAACAGCCTCACTCAACAGACTCACTATCTTCATACTGGAGGCTGAGATAGTGTTGCTCATCTTCACGCCCCAATGGGAGTGGAGCCAAAGGCATGGTGTTCGGGAGAGAGAGATCCTTTATCGCAAAAATACCAAGTATCGAAGGCCAAAAAATGCCAAATCCATCAGAAAGAAGTTGGCTGAGACCTGGCAATTGAGCGAGTCCCCTTTGACTTCACATGCTGACAGGGCAAAAGTCGCCAATTCAACATCATCTTCCCATCAATATTCAGGCGGCATTTCAAGTTGATTGATATAAATCCAATTAGAAGCAATCGCAGATTAAATTTGTAAAATGAAGACCCATTAGTCATGGAAACAACTCATATTGTGACCTTGCGGCAGACGAGAATAGCCTTTATCATTACTTTAAAACTAAAATATTTTCTCACTCTGTCGCTTATTTATGTCAGTTATACGAATTATTTCAAAGTATACTTTATGTATTTGATTCATCCTACAACTATTAGTCTACTTTTCGCTTATTTTTCACTTAAACCGTATAGACTATAATGTTCTCCTCTATTATGCTAAATAAATATTATGTATTTTACTAGTACTATTTAGATATAGTCAAACAGATAATTGGAATGACATAAAGACGAAAAGATAGATATAATGAAAATCCGGCTTTCGTGCCTAGTTCTGAAGATGGATTATAGGAATCAAAGTAGACGTCAGCCAAAAATACCTTCTGAAAATTAGTATCGATGATTCATAGAAACAGCATAGATTCTGGCTTGGCAACAGAGATGAATAGTCTTTCGTGACTCTGAGCAAAGGGAATTTCTGAGCAAATATCATGACTTCTCAGATAAGCAATAATCTATTTGATTCTATTATGCCGCGACAACAATAAGCCTTGTTATGACTTCAGACTGAATACATTTTACAGCTCAACTGTTCATTTATATGTGGTCTACAAATTACTTATAGGAATTGATGTTCATAAGTAATTTACTTTACTTTTTATTAATGTTATATATTATATATTTATATACTATAATGTGATGTAATTGTTGCATATTTTGCTATTATTTTTTACATTTGATCAATTTGGTAAGCGGATAGATAGATCGACAAAATGTTAGATCTAATGATAAATAAATAAACAAATTCTTCGCTTATCTGTATTGTTTATAAACTGATGGACTAGCTTTTAGTCGGCAAATTGAAGTGAAAAAAGAACGAATGTAAATAGAGGTATTTAGATGCAAGAAACTCTCAGACGAACATAATATTTAGTAACTTGTGGTGAAATTGACTGGTAAATAACGTCTTCCCCAACTGACATCTGGACCAACTCACAGTATGAGCACACTCAATGACCAACGTTGTATCCTTCATTAAATTAGGCCTTGATGTTATTTTCATTCGTGTCTCCTCTACGCCGCGGCTGAGACAGACCAATATTTGTATAGTCCCTGAACCAGAGAGAGCAGCCGTACTTGATCACCTACAGACTGAGCAAAAATGACAAAAGACTCCGTCTGCACAATAGAGTGATTAGCGTTCTGCGGCTAGGAACTGGCTGAAAAGGCTTGCTTGGGTGAAAAGG